TGTGCCACCATGCCGAACTAATTTTTGTATTTTTAGTAGAGATGGAGTTTCATCATGTTGTTCAAGCTGGTCTCGAAATCCTGACCTCAGGCAATCCACCCACCATGGCCTCCCAAAATGCTGGGATTACAGGGGTGAGCCACTGCCCAGCCCAACTGCAGCCAATTTTTAATTGATTTTTCCTCATCCTTTCCCCAGAGGGACAGCCCCTCAGACAAGGAGCAAGGATGGTGGGGAGGGAGCTACATATACTGGGGCTCTGGGGCCTCCAGGGAGACGGGGTCCCTCTGAGCTTGGTGGGCCAGGGCCTGTGCTCACCGCCTGCAGGAAGTCGGTCAGTTCCTTCCTCCGGTTCCTGCACTTGGCTGCAGCCAACTTGTTCCGCTCGCGCCTTACTCGGCGGCGCTCCTCTTCCTCTGGGCTGATCTGGGGGTGAGACCAGCAGTGAGGAGGACCCTGGGCCACTGGCTGCCTGGAACTCACCCCTCACGGTAGCCCAGTGGTAGGACCCTGGCAGAGGTCATGGCAACACAGGGGCCCCCTCTGCCTGTGATTTAGGGATCACTGCACCCAACCAGTTCCCTGCACTGAGGCACTGTCTTCTTGGATTGGTCAAATTTCCTCCTCACACCTAGCTTTAGTGCACATTCCTCTCCTATAACGTCCTCCCCCTCCATAAACTGTAACCCTCCTCATCTCCTAGGACTCAACTAAGATGCTGCTGCCTCCAGGAAGCCCTCTTATTCCCCAGCCAGAAATGACCTTTCCTCCTCAGCCCCCTCTTTGCAGCACCCTCATCCTTCTGCATCTCTGGACAACCAAGTATCCTCTTACCCCATGAGCTGTAAGCACTAGGAGGGGCTAATGAGTGTTGCAGATTAAGTTGTAATTTGTTGGAAACCTACTATGTGCCAGCTAAGAACTTTACATAGATTCTTGTTTTTTCACTGAGAATATGCAGAACAGAAACTTTTTTTTTTTTTTTGAGTCTTGCTTTGTTGCCCAGGCTGGAGTGCAGTGGCACGATCTCAGCTCACTGGACCCTCTACCTCCTGGGTTCAAGCAATTCTCCTGCTTGCCTTAGCTTCCTGAGTAGCTGGGACTACAAATGTGCACCATGATTGTGGCTAATTTTTGAATTTTTAGTAGACACTGGGTTTCACCAGGTTGGTCAGGCTGCTCTCGAACTCCTGACCTCAAGTGATCCACCAGCCTCAGCCTCCTAAAGTGCTGGAGTTACAGGCATGAGCCACTGCACCCAGCATTTTTTTTTTTTTTTTTTTTTTTTTTTGAGATAGAGTCTCACTCTCTCCCACACTGGAGTACAGTGGCCTGGTGGCCTGATCTCGGCTCACTGCAACCTCCACCTACTGGGTTCAACTGATTCTCATGCCTCAGCCTCCCAGGTAGCTGGGACTGCAGGCATATACCACCACACTTGGCTAATTTTTGTATTTTTAGTGGAGACAGGGTTTCACCATATTGGCCAGGCTGGTCTCGAACTCCTGACCTCAGGTGATCCACCTACCTTGGCCTCCCAAAGTGCTGGGATTACAGGCATGAGCCACCATGCTTGGCATCTTTTTCTTTTGTAGTGACGGGTCTTACTGTGTTGCCCAGGCTGGTCTGGAACTCCTGGGCTCAAGGGATCCTCCTGCCTTGGCCTCCCAGAATACTTGGATTACTGGCGGGAGCCACCATACACAGCCTTTTTTTTNTTTTAGAGATGAGGTTTCACCTTGTTGGTCAGGGTGGTTTTGAACTCCTGACCTCAGGTGTTCCACTCACCTCAGCCTCCCAAAGTGTTGAGATTACAGGTGTGAGCCACCACGCCCGGCCTTAACATAGATTCGTAACCCAACTTTCCATGAAAAACTGAAGCCCAGGGAGGATAACTTGCTCCTGGTTCCAGACCAGAACTAGAGCCCACTCACTCTATTGCACAGAGTGACAAGCCAGATGAGGGAGACCATTTCGCCAAAAGGATCCAACTCACAGCTCACAGACCTACCTGGGAGAACCCAGGATCAAAAGGTCACCCTCAGGACCAGGCTGAAAGAAGGACGTACAAGAGGGGTTACCCCTGGCCCGCTTCTGTGGCTCACAGCATGGTCCCTTCTCACCACAAAGGGCAGACAATCTGTTCTGGGAAAGCTGTCCTTGGCTGATTTCTCATCTTTCCCAGGACCCTAACCTCTCTCCCATCCTCTACCCAGCCTGCAGAGCAAGCTTCGTAACCTCATCCCCTGGAGTCTCCTACACCAAAATGCCCCAGGGAGGGGAAAGACGAGCCACTCCTTTAAAGACTCTCTATCTCTTACTTATTTTGGTAAGGGCCTTGGGGAGCCAAGAGTTCTCAGTTACCTCTGCTTCGAATCTTCTGTTAGCTCCCAGTGAGACTGAGTGGCTTGGTGATTTATTT